ATCCGCCTCCCCCCCCATGACTCTTTTGCTGAACCTAAAACTTGGGAGCCTGCAATGGCAGTGGTGTATGCTTGGTTAAAAGAAAAAATAACAATGGAATAGGACTCAATAATGTTAATACCCATTACTATTCTGCAGTGTTTTCCTAGGTCTTTTTCTAGTTTCTATTGTTTTGACTCTCCTTCTAAGACTAACTACATAGCCCCTTGCAGAATTTTAATCTAGTCTGGATATTTTTAACCCTAAAAAAAATCCCACAAACATACACACATTTTTATTGTGCCCCTCCATTGTTCATAAAAGATATTTAAAGCTCAATCTCTAATTAAGATAAATTTTAGTGTTCATTCCATCTCAGCAAAATACAAATCAGAGATATAAGGAAAAACCTTTTAGAAAGGCTGTATCAGGCCAGATTGTATGCAAATATAAGTGAATGATATTTATGATAAAGAGAGACAAGATTCCTTTATAGAAGAACAAGAGAACAAGGACCAAATCCATACACCACTCTTGATGACGGGAGCTCTGGTGGTGTAGTGCCTAAGGCATTTGACTGCTAACCGGAAGGTTGGTGGTTCAAACCCACCAGCCACTCCTTGGAAGGAAGGTTGGGCAATCTACTTCCATAGTGATACCACCTCGAAAACCCAAGAAGGGGTCACTATGAGTCAGAGACGACTTGACAGCACATAACAACAACACAACAACTCTTGATTATAGGCCTCATAAAACTTCTGAAGAAGATACTAGCTAGGAGATAAGAAGCATTAAAATGACAACTTTCAAATTGTGAACAGAGATCAGTGTTTAAGAAACATATCTTTTTAATTTAAGAAAGATTGTTGGAAAGAACTTCTTTGAAAACAGTAATACTCTATTCTTTGCACGTTTACCATCAAGCTTCATTGCAACTGAACCTCCAGTGGACTATCCGAACTTCATCTTTAGAGTATTTAAATATTGATTGAAATGAGTGGCTATTAGCATGATATAATATGGAAATTTTTATTGTAATGAATTTCATTATAAAGAAATTCTGGGCCCTAAAGGCAATGTTGGGAGCTCTGGTAGCATAGTGGCTAAGACACTTGCCTGCTAACCAGACGGCTGGCGGTTCAAACCCACCTGCCACTCCTCGGAAGGAAGGTTGGGCAATCCTACTTCCGTAGTGATACTGCCTCGGAAACCCAAGGAGGGGTCGCTATGAGTCGGGGCCGACTCGACGGCACATAACAACAACAACAACAACAAAGGCAATGTTACATCAAGGTCACTCATCCTTCACCCCGTAGAAATGTGTCACTCATGACTGCCAGAAGGACTGTTTATCTGTGATTCTTTACTAAAAGCATAGTGATTTTGATCTGTGCTTATAACCTTCCAAAGGTACAAGCTGTACATAAAAAAAAAAAAAACCTCACTGCTGTCAAGTTGGATCCAACTCATAGCTACCCCTCTTTGGGTTTCCAAGGCAGTATCACTGTGGAAGTAGATTGCCCAACCTTCCTTCCGAGGAGTGGCTGGTGGGTTTGAACCACCAGCCTTCTGGTTAGCAGTCAAACACATTAGGCACTATGCTACCAGAGCTCCTGTATCTGACCCAATTTTTCAAATCTATCTTAAAGATATGTCCTAAATGCTAACATTACTACCATCATAACCAACAGATGTTTTACTAAGCTTTTTCTTCACACTAGTCTTTAACAGTTTGATTCACAGTTTGGTTGAGGTATTGATAGCATCCACATATTCTAGAACATTCCTCCATTCTCCTTCACTAAACAAGAATCAATTTATTAGAATAAATAAGCATTCACCCTGAAAATGGAGAAAACAAGCTTTATTATAATGATTTGAGATTCTGTGCATGGTAAAGATATCACATGAATCTTGTTTCTCCTCTGTTTCAAGACAGAATTAATTTAAAGTTTTATTGTAGACTAAAGCATCCAAAATACTGTGGTACATATGTAGCTACGAACATACAAACACTTTGATGCACAGAGTTCATTCTTTTCTTTAAATAGGCAGTCAGCATTTTGAGTCATAAAAGAACAAATGAAGAGAATATATCAGTATTAACGTCAGAGAGCGCAAGACTTAGTGTTCAATACACAGACGTATGAAACAGACTTAAAAAGATAGATGGAATGTACAAAATTTAAAAGGAAAAAAAGAAGCAAAAAACCTTCAAATTCATACATAGCAGTGAAAGGCTATAGAAGTGAGAATGATATAAAGAATTCTGTTAACAAGAATACACTTTGTTGATGACAGAACATTCCCATGTCATAAAGCAAAAGCACTGAGATTAAGGCTGTGTTGCTTTCAAAAGATAATGGAAGTGCTGTACATTCATTGGAACAACATAGCCAATTTATTAATCTATACTAGAATATTAATAACTTTCATACATTCTCCACAAACAGATCACACAATCACTGCCACACGATTCATCTTCAGAAAGTTTTTAAGATTAACATCATGATTTGTAGCTTACTGTCATTAAAACAAAACAAAAAATTATTTATTTATAACAAACAGATCTTTAATGGGCACTTAGTTTCCTTTATGGCAATACTAGATTCTTAGTTATCAAAAATATTAAAACAATTGTAAAGTTTAGAACCCTGCTTCATTTACAGAATGCAACAGTATCACGACTTTAATTTTAAGTAAAATTATAATGTCTGCATCAAATAGTTGCAATTTTACCCTACCTGGAAGTGTCATGTTTTTAAATTATTAAACTAAAAACTCTCCTGCCTTTCCAGAAGCTGGCAAATAGGACACTATAGAGTCCAAATGTACAAAAAGATTTTTCCCATTGGAAGTAATCTGCAGATTAACTGATGCATATTTGATATTTCTTCCAATTAACTCAGTAGGTATTACCAGAAGAATTTATGTTAATACTTTAATGTTAAGGATCCACAGATACTTGCTAATGTACGCTATTCCAGTTAACTCTGTGTTAAGACATACCCTGTATATTTAGTAGCAAAAGCAAGTGTGTCTAGTTGCATGGATCTGGAGTATTTGGTTTCCCTCCAATCTAGTGGTTAATCAAGGAGTAAATTTAAAAAAAAAGAAACTTCAGGACTTGTTTAGTTACTGGAGACTAAAGTTTGATTAAAATATCAAGTACTACTTTAAGAAAAAAAAAGCCAACACTACATAAAGGATTTTCAGTCATGTGTTTCTACATGGTCAGTCAAGTGACTCCTGATGGCCCCATGTCCCCATGTCCAGCATGGGAGCTCTGTAATGGGAGGGAATTTATTGTCACTGACCTTTCAATTCTAACTGGCAATATTTTGCCATAAGTGCCCAGGGGGAAATTTGAATGAGTAATTTTTCAGTGCTACTTATCATGAATGTATAACAGGTTCTGTACATTTGACAAAGAGGAATCAAACAATGGTAGCCCAGAAAAAAGCCACTTCTTTTAATATCCTTCTCAGTTTACCAGAAACCATTTTCAATAGGATGTGACAAAATTTCATCTAAATCATGCCTCTTTGAATCTTATCAGCAGCACGTTTTCCCCCAAAATATGCTTACCAAGAAATACAGTAAATGCACAAAGGTATCCAAGTATGAAATGTTATCTACACTTCAACAGATATGATTATACATTTTTTTTTTGAGAAAAATATTGTGTTTCCTGGAGTGTTCATAAGCATGTGTTTTAGTGTCAGATGGTGGAACAGGTCTGAATCAAAGTAGCTGTTCTTTCATTCCAATTAGTGCCAATATTGACATATAAACAACTAATTTTACATCCAATTTACTATTGAAATATCCAGCCTGATACATGATGGCTGATTAGTTTACAAGTTCATTTCTAAGTTCACAAATATAATTGAAATGTTGTGCAATAAACCTCCTTAAATAAACTAGTCTTAAGATCAATAGCCTGTGACAGAATCTACACCCCAAACCTACTGTCATCAAGTTGATTCTGATTCCTAGTGACCATATAGGTCAGAGTAGAACTTTCCCATAGGGTTTCCAAAGCTGTAAATCTGTATGGAAGCAGATTGCCTCATCTTTCTCTCCTGAGTGGCTGGTGAGTTTGAACCTCCAACCTTAGATTACCATCCTTATGCTTAACCACTGTGCCAATGGGCTCCTTAGAATCTAAATAGGAGGCCACTTCTACTTGTGAAAATAAACTAAAATTAATTTAACCAATTCTACAAGCTTTCTCTTCAATAGTCTAAGTACTATTAGGAATCTGGCCTATATTTTAAGAAGAATGTTAGGAAAGGGCAAGATGAAATGCTCTCCTAGAAAGTAAACTTCAAGAGGACAAGGATTGTTTTATTCATCACTGTAACCCCAGTGCTAGAATAGTGCACTGGGCTAGTAGGCACTCAGTACATATGACTGTTTAAATGTGGCCTCATTTCACTGATGTTAGGGAACAGTGTCTTAGTTTAACATTCTAAAAATGTTACTGAATTTCATAACTTTATCATAAATAAGCTCAAATATTTTTTAAACTCTACTTAGTTAAAACATTACTAAACCCCAAAGTAAATCTTCCTGAAAAATATTTTGTTGAGAGGTTGATTTGAGCATAACAGATTTAATAAACAATTGGAAGCAGCCAGATTTCCCTTTAAAATTTTAGAAAACTGTATTTAAGAGAATGACTGAATTATAAATTAATAAGCAATAAAATCACATTCGTATAATCATATATATGGGAAATGTTTTCCTATAGTAAGTTTCTAAGGTGCTTTCAGTGAAAAAGACTACAAGGGCGTTATCAAAAATGCCAAACTTGACATCCTATTTGGTAGAACTGAGTAGAAAATTAAAGAGTGGAAATAGACTGCGTCTTAATTTACAATATCAAGACAGATTAACTATTGACTAAATTATTCTAACGTTTCTCAAAATGCATTTATACTTACTTTAAATTGATTTTAAATTAAACATAATTCAAGTAGAACTTTTATTTTCTGTTGACATCTTTTTTTTTTTTTTTTTGTAATGCACAGAAGGCCGTTTTCTGACTATAAGTCAGCCACCACCATCATTCCTGGAAAATGGCAAAAACGAATCTGCTTTAGGGCTTGCTCCACTAGGACGGCTTGAAATGTGCAGTAAGAGGAATGTGCTGAAGAATGGCTGGGCGATGCCTGTCTGCTTTCAGAGTGCTGCCTATTTCAATACACCAAAGATTCAGCTATAGATTTATATATATATTATACATTCTACCTTACCCTAATCATGTATACATAGTCCCATAACATCTCTACTATTCATTAGACAATGATAAATAACCATAACATGCCCTTACCTGTAATGCTTTTGAGATAACACAACTTTGGTAACACTTGCTTTCTAAGGGGAAACCATTAATCAATCACATGCCTTTGGTTGACACCATCAGTCCTCCAAAGGGCTACTTATGGCTCTCTGTCCTAGGATACTGGTGTCCTACTACATGTGCTGACAGTTTGCAGGAGGTAAAGCCTTCGCTTTCACAAAGTGGAAAAGGATAGACACATGTGAGAACATAGCACATACAATGTGACTAACCTTTTCTTGATTACATTCCAGTACATTAATCTGGAGTTTGTGGGGCTGTTTGTTTACCAAAAGGTAGCATGACTATTATAATATGCTCTTCAAAGCATTAGGAATTTCAGGTCTTCCTGAAAATGCACTTTGTTTTCTGGAGCAAAGTGAACACAAAAGAGAAAGTGAAAAGAAAGCACAAAAATGATCTTTGATCTAATCCAGAAAAGTTGGGAAATTTGCATTTATTCTTAGGTGCTAACATCAAGGCCTGCCAATCAGAGCTGGGAAGGTTTTGCAAGACAGCCTTATTTTTTCTAAAGTAATTTATACTTAGTTATTGATGACCAAAAAAGTGTCACAAGAGTAATACCTACTGTGAAAGTGAGGTTAGAAGATTTCTTAGGTCTTGTGACCTAGGTTAAATAAAGTATGTAACTACAACAGATTTTGTTTTGTTTTGTTTAGTTTTTGGAAGCTCTGAACAAAAGGTACCATTCATAGGATTAACAAATTACCTTTAAATAGTCTAGTTTTTTAAAATGTTTGTTTGATTTGCAAAATTAGTTTAACTACATAAAGCCCTGTTCTATAAGCCATAGTTCACAGGTGTAAAACTTTGCAGTTTTTGTAGATTCAGTAGAAGAGGTTTTCTCTTTTTTTTTTTAACCCTAAAGGTGAATTACAGAAATCAGATAGATGCACAGTCTTAAGGAGATTGTTACATTCAGAAATACCCTTGGAAAGTTCACCAGTGATTCCCTCTAGCACAAAAAATCTAGTCATAATCTGGTCCCGCGTTGAGAAATCCATTCCAGTTTATAGTGCAAGACCTTTGTAAGGGGTTGTTCAGCTGCCCACCATTACTGCAAGTATCGATAAACCTTGAAACAATGATTTCCAGAGTCTGCAACCACAACATGGCCATCTGAAGTTAGCGCCAGGCCCTGGGGACCATACAGTGGGTCAGCAGATGTGTTAATGTAGGACAAAAATGATCCGCTTCCATCAAAAACCTGTAAAATAGAATGCATAGTTAAGAAGGGCACAGGGAAAGGGTTAGTCACAGGGATGGGAGGGGAGGAGAGTTTGTTATGCTTGGGGATGGTAATTGGGGCATGAAATCAAATGTGCATGAACTATTGAATGTAAAATGAATTTGCTTTGTAAATTTGCACCCAAAGCACAATAAAATTTAAGAAAAAAAATCCTGTAAAATATATAAAGTCAGAGTGTTATGGGAAAAGTTATAGTAAAATGCCAAAATATAAATTAGAAAACCTACTGATGATGTTTTTTGTTGCTGATTTTGTTTTTGTTGTTGGCTGATGACTTTGGAAAAACCCATGTGTTACTGAGTAGAACTGCTCCATAGGGTTTTCTTAGCTATAATTACATTTCCACTGGCAACGGATGAGAGATCTAATTTCTCTGCATCCTTCTCAGCATTTGGAATTATCATTATTATTTTAGGTATACTTATAACTATGTAGTAGTATCTCACTGTAGTCTTAATTTGCATTTTCCTAATGTCTAGTGAAGAAACTCTGGTAGTGCAGAGGTTGTTGTTGTTGTTGTTATGTGCCATCAAGTCGGACCCGACTCATAGCGACCCCTCTTTGGGTTGCCGAGGCAGTATCACTACAGAAGTAGATTGCCCCATCTTCCTTCCGAGGAGTTGCTGGTGCGTTTGAACCACCAGCCCTCTGGTTAGCAGTCCAGTGCCTTAGGCACTGTGCTACCAGAGCTCAGCTACTAACCAAAAGGTTGGCAGTTCAAAACTACCAGCTGTTCCATGGGAGAAAAATGTGGCAGTCTGTTTCCTTAAAGATTTATACAACCTTGCAAACCCTGTGGGGCAGTTCTATTCTGTCCTATAGTGTCGCTATGAGAGGGAATCAACTCAGGGGCAGAGGGTTTGTTTTTTAATATCTAGCAATGTTCAACATCTTTTCATGTGTTTATTTTTCTTCATTAGCCTCTTAATATGGTGAATTATATTGATTTTGTACTCCTGGAATAAATACCACTTGGTCATGGTGTATAATTGTTTATATATATTGACAGATTCTATTTGCTAATATTTTGTTAAGAAATTTTAGTCTATATTCATGAGGAATTTTCTTTTTTGTACTTTTTTCAAATGGTTTTGGTATCAAGGGGCTCTGGTGGCGTAGTGCCTAAGTCATTTGACTGCTAACCAGAAGGTTGGTGGTTCAAACCCAGCAGCTGCTCTGCAGAAGGAAGATGGGGCAATCTGCTTCCATAGAGATTTACTGCCTCGCAAACCCAACAGGGATTGCTATGAGTAGGGATCAACTTGATGGCAGTGAGTTTGGTTTTGGGTTTTTTGGGTATTAGGGTAATAATACTAGCTTCATAAGCTGAGTTGGGAAGTGTTCCCATGCTTTCTACAGAAAATGTGTAGGATTGGTGCTAATTCTTCTTTAAATATTTGGTAGAATTATTCAGTGAAACCATTTGTGTCTGAAGATTTCTTTTGGGAGAGTTTTTAAATTAGAAATTAAATGTCCTTAACCGTAATAAAAACCAGTTGCCGCTGAGTCCACTCCATATTCATGGTGACCACATGTGTATCAGAGCAGAACTGTGCTCCATATGGCTTCCACTGGCTGACTTTTTGGACGGAGACTGTCAGGTCTTTATTTCGAGGTACTGCTGGTGTGGCTCAAACTTCCAACCTTCTGATTAGCAGCAGAGGATACTGCACCACCCGAGGAATCCTTAACAGCAACAGGGCTATTCAAATTACCTGTTTCAGATTAGGTGAGTGGTGTAGTTTGTACCTTTTGAGAACTGGTCAATTTCATCTAAGTTGTCAAAAAAATGTGTGTAGAGTTGTTCATAGAATTCCCTTACTGTTCTTTTGATCTCTTCATGGGTTGTTTCATTACTCATATTAATTGTAACTTTGTCATTCTTATGAAAGTTTGGTCAATTCATTTCATTGATGATATCTGTTGTTTTTCTGTGTTGAATTTCACAAACTTCTGATTCTATCTTTACTATTTTCCTTCCTTCTGCTGGCTTTGGGTTTGTTATGGTCTTCTCTTTCTAGTTTCTTGAGGTGTAGGCTTAGATGACTGATTGAGACTTTTCCTCTTTTCTCATGTAAACGTTTAATGCTATTAATTCCCTCTTATCACTACTTCAGCTGCATCCCACAAATTTTGACAGGCTTTGTTTTCATTTTCACTCAGTCCAATGCATTTTTTAATTTGCCTTGAGACTTATTCCATGATCCTTGCATTATTCAGCAGAATAATGTTTATAATAGCATAAAACAAACTATAAGGAATTATAAAGGAAAATAATTATGCTGAAACAGTCATCAAAATATAAAATTTTGATAGAGTAACATGTATGCTTTTTTAATTAACACATAAAATAACAAGTAATAATGATGAATCTAATAACCACTGTAATTTTTGTAGTGGTGAGCATAAATGACAACTCGAGATGTCTCCACCAACTAGAATATAAAAATATCTGTGGTTTCTCTTGGTGACAAAATCACAGATACTGCTAAAACTACTGTGATTATTATCTATATTCATAATTGAAGGAAATGATCATTTTCAGTTAAAATAATAATAATAATGTATTATTTTTGTTCATAGGCCTCTTTAATTTTACCCATAAGCTCCTTCAGGTGTGTACAATCCAGGTTAAGAAACTCTGACTTACAGGGTTTCACACTGATAATACAAAAAAGAAAAAAAGCCCAAACCCACTGCTGTCAAGTCAATTCTGACTCATAGTATGCTGCCCTATTCCTACTTCTCCATTTTCCTTAGCTTGGTCTTTCTGGTACAATTATCTATGGTCTTATGACTTGACCAATGAATGGAGCATCTTCCAGTTTCGAAGAAGCCAATTCTTCACTTTTAATAAATACCAACCATTCGAAACAAATAAAGTAGCATTTAGTCTACCTGGATCCTGCTGTTTCCCCAGTCTGCTACAATGATGTTGCCATTTGAATCCACAGCTACACCTGTCGGAGCATTAAACTGCCCATTTCCTTCTCCATTTGAGCCAAACTTTAAAATGAACTCTCCTTCCTGATTAAACACCTGCATGAAATATTTAAAAATTATTTTTGAAATTAAAATGATTGAACCAACATTACCGACTTTTTAAAATCTTCTGTCTGAGTGGGGTATTTATAACAAGACCTATGATTTAAGATATTCTAAATATAAAACAAAACAGAAAACAAACTCTACAAACTAGACCCCCATATCATCTGTGTTTCCACAATTTACTGTATAAATCTGATTTTCATTTGTTAAACCACCACATCTTTTTTGTTTTTGGCTTATACTTGATCATTAAATAATTTGTGTTAAAATTACTTTTTCTTTTTTTTTTTAAATAAACTATAAAATACTATAAAAATATAAAGTAGTGTGAGTAAGTAGAGCTGTCATTTTCAACAATACTATTCTTTCTGCCTTTAAATGAATAGCCAAATTTCAAGAATGGGCAACTGGATTTCTAATAGGATGAATAATAATTCAAAATTGGGTCAAAGATTAGGCGTTTTTTGTTAGGCCGGATGCTCATAATTTATTATCATTTTACAAAGTCAACATAACAAGAAAGACTAGGTCAGAACCCGCGCTTGGAATAGGAACAATTCATTTAGAGTGTGTGTGTGTGTGTGTGTGTGTGTGCATGTGCACACATGTGTGTGATGGCATAGGGTAAAGAACAAGCAAAGGGCTTTTTTATCTACCCTCATAAGTTATTTTTAGTTAAAATAGAGCTTATACGAGCTTGACTGACTCTTTGATGAATAGAATCTATTGGGAGAAGAGAGGCTATCAGAAGTAAATTTACACTTATGTAAATTCTCTAGTATCTAATACAGTCAAGAAATGGGCTGTTGTGGCTAATTAAACACTGTTATTAGCAGAGTATTACTCTGTATGTACCATATACAGATTACTGATTTTGACAAAGCCGTAATTTTAATACAATGTGTTTAACACTAACAATATGCTTACTAAAGCATAATTTTATTCTGATGATTCAGATACTACTTAATGGTATTGAAAATATCTCTAGGCCATTATTTTAACTTCTATTATCATGCATACTAGACATTAGGAATATTCATTAACAAAGTATATACAAGATACTATGAGAGTAAAAAGGAGCTCTGGTGGCATAGTGCCTAAGACATTTGACTGCTAACCAGAAGGCTGGTGGTTCAAACCCACCAGCCACCTTTGGAAGGAAGGTTGGGCAATCTACTTCCATAGTGATACTGCCTGGGAAACCCAAGGAGGTGTCGCCATGAGTCGGATACGACTCAACAGCAGTTTTTTTTTTTTTTGTAGGAGAGTAAAACCAAAACACCACCACACCTGGTGCTGTCAATTTGATTCTAACTCATAAGGGTTCCTAAATGTTGAACATAAATGTGATGTGTTCACTAAATCTGAGTGCAGACTTAAGTTCTTGAAGATGATCTCAGAACCTTTTAGTTCTCGTACCATCTCTGTGATCATGAAATTAAAACGACTCTATTTTCTTCTCCTTAAGTACATCAGGGAAAGTGCAACATTCCTTTCTCCAAAGCTAAAATTACCTTAAGAAAGTCATTGGCTCTTCCTGAAGTAATTATATAATTGCCAAGTAAGCAAGTTTCTTCTGGTTCTTAGGAAGGACAAAGACAATTAACAATCAGATTGTACTAAAATGTCATGTTCTAGAAATATTCCCTTTTTATTCCTTTTACATAAAACATCCTAGTTTTAAAGCACCATGGGAGTAGATTTGTGCTGGTGAGGGTGCAGTTTGTTACTCTCCTCTGTCTGTTAGCAAACCTTACAAATAATCTTTTTCTCTGCTTGTGTTTTTCTGAGTCAGTATGTTTTTCTTGGCATAATTTAAATGGCTTAAATGCTTCTGCTTCACTTAGGAATTATGGAGAATGTCAAATGTTGTCTTGCTTGTTTTGTAATGAAAAGAAAATAAACACTGAAGGTAGCTTAAGAACTAACTAGACCACATGTTAGCCCCTAGCCTATGGGCACAGTATTTACATTTTCCAAGAGAGAAGTTGCCTAACACCAAAACTGCTGCTAATTGCACGGTTTGCATGGAAAACAAAGGTCTGAGTATTCTTTAAAAGCTATATGGCAAGAGTTGTAAAAGAAAAGAGCAAACACAAAAAAAGATTGTGGTTTTCTGAAATATGAGGAAAATCGAGGTTAAATAGGTAACTGAAATAACTTACCTCTACTGTAATGAAAACGGAAGTATTTTCAGAATCTTAAGAATTAAAATTTGCCCTAGTTTCTATTTTCCTCATCTAAAATGTCATTTCACTGCTTATAAGTTTTTCAGATGAAAACACATTAAGAGGGAGAAGGATCAGCTGAAGTAGTTTTTATAGCTTTTTAGAATGAGTTTTTATAGCAAGTTTTTAATAACCTGGATGAAAATCCTCTGATTTCAAAATTCTACTCATGTCAAACACATCCAAGTAGAAGTCTTCTCTGGTATTCTTTGCCTTGGGAATACTTTCTTTTCTTTTGGACACTTACCAACTTTATATGTACCTGTTTTTAAGAAATAATTTATTGCTACCTGCCTTGCATTTTGGTTCCTTACATATTTCACTTCCTTCCAGTGTCAGCCAGGGCTGGTAAACAGGAGTGGACTCATGTACCTACCAGTTGACCGAGAGAGGCTGTGTGGAATACTGGGAAGGGAAAGGCTCTGAGGCCACAGTTGTGCTTAGGAGGAAAAAGTAATTTGCCTAATTATTCTCATCTTCTATGGGGTGGAGGGAGGGCAGCACCTTTTGGCATGCATTTGCTGGTCTTTGTACTGTCAGCAATTTTGTGGATTTTCTTCTTGCTGAATGCCCTATAGTTAATGAATGATTCCTCTATTAAGTGAGTAAAGGCAGGAAGTATGGTAACACCCAGTATTGTCCTTAGATAGTTATGCTTATCATATAGGACTGTGACAGCCCCCTAGGAAGAACAGTCACAACACCCAGACTCTGCAGCCTCTTGGCTGTTTTTCCCTCTGTCACCACCCATCTAGACAGACTTGTCCCCAGGTCCTCTTCCTTTTATCAAAACACCTTACAGAGAGAGAGGTGGTAGCAGAGGCTGCAGCTTATCCACTTGGTGGGCAGGCAGGAATGGAGCTTTAGCATTATGGTAGCAACTCTGGAGAGAACATGCAACAGGGGCCAGTCTCAGAAGTGATCACCAAACCTTGAGATGCCTTAGTCTAGAATATTGCTAGATATATTCTGGTTTTAGTAAATGAGAAATCTGTTTTGAAACACTTTATTATTTCCTGATTTGCTCATTAAAGGTACAATCTCTCTCTCTCCCTATTGGCAGGGGTGGATGGCAGGAGGTCATTATCTAAATAATACCAAGTTTGTGAAAGCATTATAAGAAGTATGAAATATACTACATGAATTTAAGTAAGGGCTAATGTCTGCCCCCTGCCCAAACCTGCTATTACAACAGGGTTCCATTATCTAAAGACCTCATAATGCAAGAAATTTTAAAAGTTCTTTTGTTTTCATTTATTAAATAGCTTCAAAATTTAAGCTTCAGAAAGTTCTGCCTCTAAGTTCCAGTAACTGTTTTTTTAAATTTAATTTCCAAGTCATCTCGATTTACACCAGTTTCAAATTAAGAAACTTATTGCCACTATATTTTGCTGAATTTGTGGCACTCCAAAATCTGTATGTTCAAATTAAAACTTGCATTTTTAAGCAGAAGCAAAATCTACTCTTTTAGATTAATTCCTTTTGTGTGTGTATGTGTGTATTATGTTATTTTCTCCAGACCTCTTTCTTAATGAAAGCAGTTAAGAGTTAACAACAACTTTTGTGCTTATAGTACCTTGACAGAATGGTTATGGAAGTCTGTGACAATAATTTCATTATTGCTATTTACAGCTGCAAAATGGGGACCTGCAATAGAAATGGGAAAAAAATATGTGATGACCGTAACAACAGAAGTGATTGATTACAACAATATAGCAGCTACTGTAAAAAGAAACAGTTAATACATTAGCTCTATTATTTATGAAAGAACAGAGAATCATAGACTCAGTCCTTGGAAGATCATTCACCCAGACCTCTGGCTCCAGGTAGCATGGATCCTATGCTGTTTGTTCTACCTTGTGACTATCTACTCTGACTTCTTCCAGATCAAAGTAGGAGTTCTAGTAGCCCTGATGAAGTGGGGTGAGCAGAAAGCATCAGAATTCATTCGCCACACCACCATCTGAAGGTCACATCTGCCAGCTTCTCTGAGTAGGTGTTAGTCATTTTAGGGCCCTCAGCTTCCCATTGAAGAAAGACATGGTCACTCTTAGCACTGGGGAAAAGCCTCCAATGCATATTCTTTTTAAAATCCACACTTCATAATTTTGGGTGACATTCAGAATTTGGCAGGGCTGGAGACAAAGCACAAAGAAAAATTATGGGGATTAATGTTAAATACAAAAAGCATCCTTTTAAAAAGAAAACTCAATACACTGATTCAGCCTCTGCTTGCAGATATGAAAGCCCAAGTAAGCTTGTGACTGCCAAGTGGTGCACCAAAAAAAAAAGGAGCAAAAGAGATTATCCTCCCTGTATCCATCAAATATTCTGAACTCCTGCTTTCTTATTATAATCACCTAAAAAGGTGAAAAACAAAATCTTATGCAGAGTTGCTTTCAAGGCTACCTAGGTGGAAATGAGAGTTACTCTACTGTTCCTCAAACATTTACTATTTAAAAAACAGTATTTTATTTTAAAATTCATGATTTAATACTAATATTCTAGGATTAGACTTCTGAGTTGTAAACTGCCACCGTTAAGAACCACACCTGGATCTGAGATCAACTTACGGCCCGTGGAATAACTGAGAAGCATTAACCATGCTTTTGCTTAGATTTCATTCCCAGCATCTTTCCCAAAGTCAGCAAACACACTGGGGATGTGGCGTCTTCAACATGCTCTGACATGCAAATGTGAGCAGAAGAAGCATAGAAAAGGGGGTTTACATATTACCGTCAAGTGTACCTGCAAACTGCCTGTCCCCATTTCCTCGGCTACCAAACCTGGTGACTATTTTCCCATTTGGCTGGAAGATAAACACACAGCACGCTTTGTTGTCCACCACAATAATGTGCCCGTTGCGGTCCACAGAAACTCCTTTGGGCCCCATCAACTTTCCTGATCCAATTTTTGTCTGTTAGAAACAAGTACAGAAATCAACTAAGACATCAAAGTTTATAACACTGTAGAACATGAAGATAGACATTTGTTTTCATAAACATCTACTGGTACGATACAACAGGAGTGCCCAGCTACTCAGATAGCTCAATGAGCTTCTCTCTTGGGAGGTCATCTTTGTCATGGCCATTATTTGTTACAGATATTTATATAAAATCCTTATTTTTATTAGGGATCACCACCAAAAAAGAAAAGTCCTAGAATCCCATTAACTGAGGCCCCAGTTCCCTTCTACAGAAGCAGTATACTAGTGATAAATCACTGGATCAGAAACTCGAAGACCTTGTCTTGTTTCTGTCACTTGCTTTGGACAGAGCTTTGAGAGCACAAATGGATTTAATTTCCTTGTGTATCACATTCCTTATATAATAAAAAAGTAAAAAAAAAAAAAAAAGATCTTAATACCTTCCAATGATATTTCTCAAGTATGACTTAAGTAGGTATAGTGTTTAGCATAGAATACAGCATATATTACACAGTCATTAAACGGAAGGAAGCATTGTCATTATTAGATATCATAATTGCCAGGCATCCACCATTGAACTTTATTAGAATTAAGCTCCATGCAGGCAGGAATCATGTCTGTTTCATCCACCACTGTGTACTCGTAACCTAGCATACTCCTGGATGCACAATAGGTACTCAACAGATATTTGTGAAAATATCAATGAAAAAAGTCTAGCATTATTATGGGGTAGTCTTGATGATTAAATGCTTCTAGTTTGCACCAGTTGCTGTCAAGTTGATTATGACTCATAACAGCTCTATAGGGCAGGATAGAACTGCCCCCATGGATTTCTAAGGCTGTAATCTTTACAGAAGCAGATTGCCTCATCTTTCTCCCACAGACTAGCTGGTGGGCTCAAACCTCTGACCTTTTGGTTGGTAGCTGAGCTTTTAACCACTGTGCCACCAGGGCTCCTTTTGCACAGTATTTGAAAATGGGAGAAAAGCATTACATTTATATAAGCAAAATACCATATGCATTTATTTATTTCTCTGAGTACAATGTGTATATAAATGGTTATTTACCATGAAGCATATGTCTGTTACCTGTATCTCATATTCTTATAGGAGCTCTGGTGGTATAGTAGTTAAAGCATTCAGCTGCTAACCAGAAAGTTGGCAGTTCGAACTCACCAGCTGCTCCGCAGGAAACAAATGAGGCAATCTGCTTCTGTAAAGATTTACAGTCTTGGAAACCCTATGGGGCAGTTCTGTTCTGTCCTACAGAGTCACTATGAGTTGGAATCAACTTGATGGCAGTGAGTTTTTTGGTTTTATATTCTCAGAGCTCCATTTTCTAGAGTACATACAAAGAAGCACTTCACTCATCCCCCTATTATTTAGTAATTTTACAAACACTGGTTGAGCACCTATTATGTGCCTGATATTGTATTCTAGGTACTTGGTAAACAAAGACAGTAAGTTATAGTTCCTATCTGCAATTACATCTTCATCTCATTGTAGAGACAAACATGACTACTGGACCCTTTTAAAGTGTCTGGTATTGAGTTTTCAATTTGGTAGCTTTGGGAAAATTCAAATAGGTCATCTCAGAAGTCACGTGGGACAATAATTCGATGACACAGGTCACTATAGACAAGGAAGAAGAAGGTGCACTCTAGGTGAGGGAGCAGCCAGAAGGAGGCACAGTAAGTGAGGAGGACTTTAAGAACCATAGTCCTGCCTGGCACCTTGGCTCAAATGTCAGATGTAAGTGGATCTATATGTGTTTTTATGAAAGATACTTCAGATATATTACTGAACAAAGCAACATACAGAACTTCAAGTATATAAAGTAAATATAGTTTGAGCCTACTTGTGTTAAAGTGTTAAATATATTTGTATATTTATACATAATCCTGTTTTATGCACATATATATACCTGGAAGGAAAAATAAGATGCCAAATAATGTTTATATCTAGAAAGTGGTATAGTGGTAGTAGGAGAAACTCTTTTCATTTTATACCCTTCTGTAGACTTACTTTAAGGAGCTCTGGTGGCATAGTGCCTAAAGCATTTGACTGCTAAGCAGAAGGTTGGTGATTTGAACCTACCAGCCACACCATGGAAAGTAGACATGGCAATCTACTTCTGCAAAGATTTACCACCTGTGGTAGTTCAATTTGTGTGTCAACTTGGCTGGGCCTGGTTGAGTGGCTGGGCAGCTGGATGCAGTATTCCCCATGAAAAGACTGGTAATCAACTCCATGGTGGAATCTACTGGGAGCAGCTGAGTAGCTAGCTGTCTTAGGGAATGTGGTCTGCTTCCTGTATACAAGGAGAAGCCTTGGGGAATGGTCTCTAGTTTATGGCATGCTTAGACCCTGCATGTAGCCATGTTGTTGTTCAGCAGCCAGCCATGCTCTGCCATCCTTGGGACTTACAATGGACTTGAGTTAACAGCCTGCCATGTGGTTTGATAGCATTGGAACTGTGCCATTTTATTTGTCAACCTTGGGCTTGTTAGCTTCAGCAGCCAGCAGCTGCCCGAGTGAAGAGATGCCTCTAGCTTCAGTGGGCTGGGAGCAAGAGGCAGAGCTGCAACCCAAGGTCGAGGGGCTTTCACACAGCCCCTAGAGCCTGGCACTTTGAACTCAGACTTCTAAGCTCCCGAACTTTAAGAGAATAAACTCCTGTTTGTTAAGGCCATCCTATTTGTGGTATATTCTTGTCAGAATGGTACTAGGTGACCAGAACAGAATATGGTACCGAGAGTGGGGTGTTTCTCTGACAGATGCTTAAAGTGTGGAAACAGGAGTGGAGTGCATCCTTGACCCAAGACCCTGGCAGAGAGACCCCAACATACGGTATGACAGATGGAAGGAGCAGAGCAAGAGACAAGGATGAGAGATGGCAGGAGCAGAGCCCAGAGACTGGCATATGAGAGACAGCAGTAGCAGAGTCCAGAGAGAACCGGCATGAGACAGCGACAGCCTTACCAGCCCACAGAGGAGAAAGCTTGATGCCTTTGGTTAGGCAGCTTCCTGGCAGAGTGGGTTGCCTTCAGGCATTAATTGGTAGAAAAGACCAGCATGAAATGGAGTAGCAGGTTGGCCAGCCCCAGAGCAAGAAAGCTGAATGCTTTGGGGGCAGGAAGATTTCCAGTGGAGTAGGTTGCCTTCAGCATTAATCAGCAGAAGCAGAGAGACCAAGGAAATGGAGGCAGAGCTGCCTCAGCCTGAAAGGGTAGGACCATGGCCTTTGGGGGTGAAACCACCAAAGCCCCCTAGGTTTCAAGGAGCCAGGCCTTCACCAACTTGGTTCTGGAGTGTGGGGCTGCTCCTTCATTTGAGTCAGTGGGATGGAGCCACAGCCGCTGCCCAAGAGTGAGGGGGCAGGGCTGCCATGCCCAAGAGGGAGAGGAACAGGCTTGCCAGGCCAAGGGGGTGAGGTGGCCACTTAGAGGAACTAGGGGACTGGAACCACCCAGTGAGAGAGATCTGTACAGATTCCACCCAATGAAGATCTGTACAGATGCCAAGTTGACAAGGGGTGGAATTGTGGTAGTTCAGTTTGGGTGTCAACTTGGCTGGGCCTGGTTGAGTGACTGGGCAGCTGCATGTAGTGTTCCCCATGATGAGACTGGTAATCAACTCCATGGTGGAATCTACTGGGAGCAGCTGAGTAGCTGCCTTAGGGAATGTGGTCTGCTTCCTGTATATAAGCAGAAGCCTTGGGGAATGGTCTCTAGTTTATGGCATGCTTGGACCCTGCATGTAGCCGTGTTGTTGTTCAGCAGCCAGCCATGCTCTGCCGACCTTGGGACTTCCAATGGACTTGAGTTAATGGCCTGCCATGTGGTTTGGTAACATTGGGATTGTGCCATTTTATTTATTGACCTTGGGCTTGTTAGCCTCAGCAGCCAGCAGCTGCCTGAGTGAAGAGATGCCTCTAGCTTCAGTGGGCTGAGAGCAAGAGGCAGAGGTGCAGCTAAAGGTTGAGGGGCTTTTACCCTAGAACCTGGCACTTTTAACTTGGACTTCTACCCTCCTAAACTGTAAGAAAAATAAACTCCTGTTTGTTAAGGCCATCCCATTTGTGGTATATTCTTGTCAGAGCGGTACTAGGTGACCAGAACGCCACCTCAGAAATCCAATGGAGGTCACTATGAGTCAGAATTGACTCGATGGCAGTGAGTTTTTTTTTTTTTTTTTGGCAGATTCACTTTAAAAATCAATTTATATATGTGTCGGCCCTCTAATCTTCTCTGTATATATTAACACTTTCTGACAGAAATAGTAAGCCAAATGTGCAATTCCAAATTTCCTAATAATCACACCAAAAAACTAAAAAGAAATATTTTCTATTTTATTTATCACTATATATATAAAATAATTTCAATATGTAATCAATATAAAAATTATTAAAGACATATTTTTGCATTCCTTTTGTTTTGGACTAAGTCTTTGAAATCCAGTGTATATTTTACACTTAACAGTGCATCTCAATTCAGACCAGCCCCATTGCAATCCACATGTGGCTGATGGCTACCAGATTGGACAGTGTAATTCTACACACTTGTTGTTGTTGTTATGTGCCATCGAGTCAGCCCCGACTCATAGTGACCCCTCCTTGGGTTTCCAAGGCAGTATCACTACAGAAGTAGATTGCCCAAGCTTCCTTCCGAGGAGTGGCTGGTGGGCTTGAACTGCCAGCCTTCTGGTTAGCAGTCAAGTGCTTTAGGCACTGTGCTACCAGAGCTCCTTCCACACACTTAAAAGATCTCATTTATGTTCACAGCATCAACTCTCCCCTGTATGTGTAAGATCCCCAAATCAATATCTCTAGCCACTCCTCGGAAGGAAGGTTGGGCAATCTACTTCCGTAGTGATACCACCTCGGAAACCCAAGGAGGGGTCACTATGAGTTGGGTCCAACTCAATGGCACATAACAACATAACAGTCAGGGCCTATTTTACAAGCTGTCATTAAAAAAATTAAAGAAAACCCAAACTAATACCTCCTGATTTCCTAATTTCATTTATGGTACAGTTCTTCTAGTCACCTAGGATCAAAATTTCAGAGCAAAATTTATTCTTTCTTTCACCAGTTTAGACCTCAGTTTTCTCATCTGTATAACGGCTGCTATTTTTATAGACTCCCTGAAAGTATAAGGGAAAGGACCAAGCACAGCATCTGGCACACAGACGGTCCCCTTCCCTTGACCCATCCAGCTGATATTCTACCTGACCCATAAGATTATCTTCTTTCCCAACAGAAACATGAATCTATTAATTAGAGGAGAGTATGTAAAGAGGGAGCTCTGGTAGCATAGTGCCTAAGGCACTTGACTGCTAACCAGAAGGCTGGTGGTTCAAACCCACCAGCCACTCCTGGGAAGGAAGGTTGGGCAATCCTACTGCCATAGTAATACTGCCTCGGAAACCCAAGGAGGGGTCGCTGTGAGTCGTGGCCGACTCGACGGCATATAACAACAACAACAACAGTGTAAAGAGGGATGGGAACTTTCCCATAATGGGTGTTCCATATTTATGTGATCCTTTATATTTGTAAGTTTATAAGCAGCTGAGATTCAGATTTGATCTTTTAGAGAAAAGGGACACAGACACAAGGGAAGAAATACCAGTATTCTTGGGAAGGGAATCTGTTGCATAAATTTGATTCCAATTCTCCAGTCCAGCCCAAAGATCAAAGAGACTATAACATAATGGCTTGTAAAGAAATATACTTTCTTTCATGTCTGAATGGAAGGTATGTCAGTACAGATAAAGAGAGAAAGATGGCCCTCTGATTAGTAAAGCAAGAATACTATTGCTACCTTATGTTATGATTGAGGAGCTCTGGTGATGCTGTGGTGAAAGCACTTGGCTGCTAATCAAAAGATTGGAGGTTCGAACCCACCAGCTGCTGCATGGGATAACAATGACAGAAGATCTGTCAAGATTTACAGCCTTGGAAACCCTGTGGGGGCAGTTCTGCTCTGTCCTATAGGGTCACTTTGAGTTGGAATTGACTCAATGGCAGTGGGTTTTTTGGTTTAACATTATGAACACTTGTTGTGTTGTTGTTATGTGCCATTGAGTCAGCCCTGACTCATAGCGACCCCTCCTTGGGTTTCTGAGGCAGCAACACTACAAATGTAGATTGCCCAACCTTCCTTCTGAAGAGTGGCTGGTGGGTTTGAACCGCCAGCTTTCTGGTTAGCAGTCAAGGGACTTAGGCACACTAGTTGTTACTTAAATGACACAGCCTTACAATAGCAAATGGGTCATAATTATCTAGAATAAAAACAGAAAATATAGGATTGCTTCCATGCTGTCACGTAGTGAGAACTGGTACTGGTCTGAGAGAAAAAAACTGAAATGTTGACTTAAACCCTCTTTTCCTTCCATTTCCCTTCATCAATTCTAGTTTAATTATGAAGGATTCTACCAAGTGAAATGAACATTACTTCATTTAGCGTAACAGTGGGTCTCTCACCATCAATACTTTAGACCTTGGTTTTGAAACAGTTAAATAAAAGTATTTAATTCACTAAATAGATATTTTAGAATATGGTAGCCAGGGGCCTCTATATTTGTTCTGATTACAAAAGGTTCCTTGACGGGCTGCAAGATATAAATCAGAAGAGAAGATGAAAGGGAAAAACTTAGAAGCAGAGAATAATAAAAACTAGGGCTAAGAAGTTGGTGATAGAGAGAAAGAGAAAAGACATTACATCTCTGGTACTTTGCCAAAGGAAGGAAAGGGAGAAAAAGGAGGAGGAGGATGGGGAAACAGAGAAGGTAAAAGAAGAAGGAGGAGAAGGAGAAGAAAGGGAGAAGAGAAGGACTTCATGCTCTTCATTGAAGACACAAAAACCCACAGTGAGCCTTTCATGTTGTGAGGCTCTGGGGTGGAAACTGAAGAGGGGGTTGGATTTCAGATTGCATTCTCACCTCATCACTGTTCTCCTGTCATAGCTTTGGAGGAGAGTGGATATGATCAAAAATGACTTTAAACTGAAATTTGATGACACACACATACACACAAAAGCCCAGATAAAGCTGTCATCTTGAAATCTACAGGGCATAAGAGCAACACAGAAAGAACAAACAGCAAAGAAAAGTGGTCAGCAGAGGTCAGGTTAATGAGGGCAGGTGTGTGACTCATGTGTCATTCATTTGTTCAGCCATTCAACAAACACCGATTCAGTACCAACTATGTATGGGACACTGTTCTAGGTTCTATGGGAGGGAGATGTAGATCTCTAGTTATTTATTTGTTAAATTTCTGGACTACGGATTGTAATGTAGCTAAAAGTTAACCACAATCTGTTCTTCATAGAGTAGAATCATCTCTCAAAAATGTTAGTTCTGACACTTATACTCTCCCTATTTGGGCAATCTACTTCCGTAGTGATACCGCCTTAGAAACCCAAGGAGCGGTCGCTGTGAGTTGGGTCCGACTCCACGGCACATAACAACAACAACAACATTTTGCTTAAAACCCTCTGACTTCCCATTTTACTATAAATTCATCAAACTGCTGGTCAAGGCTTGCAATGGGGTAGGAGCCTGCTCAGTTCAACCTTCTGCCCTTTCCAGCCTCATCTCTCAACACTCCAGACTCTCTGGCCTTCTTTCTACTCTTCGTATATACCAACTTTGATCCTACTCCACAGACTTTGCATTGCTGATCCCTAGCATGCACCCTCTTCCCACTCCTAGCTCCTCAAATAGCCAAATTCTCTGTTTGTGTGTCTTGGTGCTAACATCATTTCCTTAGATAGGCCACTGCTGACCACTCTTCTAAATTAGTCTTCCTGCATTTTGTTATTCTCTATCAAAGCCCCTTGTTGTAGCCACTCTTGTTGTTGTGTACAGTCAGCTGATTCGGAAATCTTTACGGAAGTCAATCACCAGCTCTTTTCTCCCACAGAGCCACTGATGGGTTAGAACCTCTGAGCTTTGGGTTAGCAGACGAGCTATTAACCACCCCACCACCTGGGGTTCTTTTGCAGCCACTCTAGGGACTCCCCCACACACACACCCCCCAAAAAAAACTAAACAAGTCCTCACAGGGCTGGAAGGTCTTCTCTAAAGTATTCTTTTAAAGGCATAGACTATGTGTATCTTCTACATATTAAATATTCTTCTGATTTAAAAAATCAGAGGAGAAAGAAAGATACAATAAGGTTACACAGAAATCTCAGTCCAAGTCTGGAGCTGTTTTAGATGCATAGTTATCTGTGGTGCAGTGAATTACTTGGTATAGCTTTTCTAGCCATAATCTTTGTAATTCCCAAAAAGCCGAGGGCTTTAACCACTGTGCCACCAAAGCTCCTTTACTTTATAAAAATCCAGAAATAAAATCTCATTTAATCTTTACCCAAATCCTATGGGATTCATTTTTTTTTTAATCCAAATTTTATTATGAAGCTACCGAGGTTCAAGGAAGTGATATAATTTGCTAAAGGCCGAATAAATTATATAAGCTACAGAGTTGGAATCCCAGCCTTGCTCTGTCTGAGTCAAAGTTCATGTTGTCAAGTGAAATAGAGGCCTCTATTAGGCTGGTGAGGGGTGAAATGGAAGGCATATTGCATATGACTTTCAAAAAGACCTTTCTCATAGACAAGAAGCTTAGGGGACCAGTGAGTTTGTGTTAATAATGGTAAACAGTTTTGAAAAGGTTGTCAAGAAAGGTGGCACAACTCAACGAATGTAACAAATGTCACTGAATTGTAAATACGGAAATTGTTGAAGCGGTATATATATTATTGTGTATATTTTCACAAAAATAAACCCAAAAAACAAATGACCTTTGCAGAGTATCTCCTAATTATCTTTGTGAACAAATACAGAAAACAGGCTAAATGATAATATTCTTTGATGCCACCTTAAAGAGAGGTTTCCGTTATCACCAGATTGCTCTCTATTCTTTGGTGACCTGCTGAAGAAATAGAAGCTATTTTTACATTTCCAGAAAGATGATCGTGTGATCAATAATAAATAAGTCAAATAATGGGATCCCTCAAAGTGTAGTTCAACTTGGAATTTCTCCCTGAAGCCAGCACTGCTTTCTTTTCCTTCTAATGATTATATTACATATTTTAAAACCAAACCAAATTCACTGCCATAGAGTCGATTCCAACTTATAGTGACCCCCACAGGGCTTCCAAGGTGGTAAATCTTTACAGCTGTAGATTGCCCCATCTTCCTTCTGCGAAGTGGCTGGTCGGTTTGAACTGCCAACCTTCTGGTTAGTGGTCAAATGCCTTGGGCACTGCACCACCAGAGCTCCTTCTTACATACTTTGTTTTAAGATTATACCACAAATGATTGATTTAAGACTCACATGAATTGTTTTGTCATTTTTTGTGTTAGCCATTTTTCCTCAATTGGCTCATAAATTTGTAAACGGTGGGAGCCATGTCTTACAATTCTGTTTTTATCAGGCAGGTAGTTCATGAACAACTAATTGAAGATAAATTTGAGATATAGAAATTGTGTTTTCTTAACTCTTTTCTAAAGATTATTGTTTCAGAATTACTGACTTAAAGTAATAGGGGCAGTTTCCCTATACATCTAATGGCTGAAAAAAAAAAAAAGAAAAAGCAATCAAGGAGCCTAATTAACCTCCTTTATAAAATGGAGCCACATTTAGGATATATATGACTAGATTAATAATGATATTATTGTTAGTATCACTTCATAAAACAAAGGCAAGATGCTTTATGTATGAAGAATTGTTGAATACTGACTTTCAAAAAAGAAAAATGTAAATTCATGCTATATTTCTTATTCAGCTAACACTTAGTGACTGATTGGTAATCTTACCTTAAACTTCCCATCTGAAGAGAAAATGCTAACCCATTTATTATCATAATCTGCAATGATTATGTCTCCGCTGGGATGCACAGCTACTCCTGTGGGTCGCTGCAGCTGCCCAGGAGAACGTCCTCGTATGCCAAAACGACTTTTGAACTGGCCATCATTGGAAAATATCTAGAATACAAATTACATTCATTAGATATGAACTTCAAAAGCTGTACCACTACATCAACAGGGAACTGCCAGAATTTCATGCCAGATTCAGAAGAGGATGTGGAATGAGAGTTATCACTGCTGATATTAGACGGATCCTGGTTGAAAACAGAGAATACCAAAAAATGTTTACCTGTGTTTTATTGACTATGCAAAGGCATTCAACTGTGTGGATCATAACAAATGATGGACAACTTTGCAAAGAATAAGAATTCCAGAACATTTAATTGCGTTCATGAGGAACCTGTACATAGTTGTTTGAACAGAACAAGCGGATACTGTGTGGTTTAAAATCAAGAAGGGTATGTATTAGGGTTGTATGTTTTTCCTATACTTATTCAGTCTGTATGCTGAGTAAATTATCCAAGAAGCTGGCCTATATGAAGAAGAACACAGCATCAGGATTGGAGGAAGATTCATTACAACTTGTGATATGCTGATGATACAACCGTGCTTGCTAAAAGAGGACTTGAACCATTAATTGATGAAGATCAAAGACTACAGCCTTCAGGATGGATTATATGACAACATAAAGAAAACAAAAATCCTCACAACTGTATCCCAAAGGAGCAAGGAGGCAGTATCTTCTGACCTCCTCTAACTATACAAGAGGAAGACAGAATCACTATCAGAAGCCTAAGCCTTATTCCTGAGAGGCCAGACATGCTGCCTCCCTCCAGCCCTTTCACCAACCCTGACACCAACTATCCTTCCCACAGCATTGACTACCTCTCTCCTGGGCTCAACAGTTTGTCACAGTGGCCATGCAGAACTCAAAAACACCACTCACAGATTATGGGGTTTATTAGGGAAACAACAGGTTACAAGTCAAATTCAGGAATCCACTCAGTATTCAGTTCCTTAGTTAGGACAGTCTCCTCTCTGCTGTGCCCTTACACACGCCTCTGTGGCCCTTGGCCTTTCGGCCTGGCCTCTGCCTCTGTGGGCCAGACAAGTCTGCTGCTCTGTCCCATGCCTCTTGGTTCTACTGATGCTGTCTCTCAGCCAGGTGTCTCTCTTTCAGTAATGGGTTGGTCTCGCAGCCACAGGTCAAACTCTCAGCCATGCATCTCTCTCAGCCAGCAGTGAAAGATATTCTTCCTCTTTGCCTGTAGGAGGGTTCACTTTAAGCCCAGCAGAGTGGCAAAACCAACCAATCCAAACACCAGAATTCTACACACCTGAGAGAGAGTGAACTTCCCAGAAAATTGCTTCCTGCTGCTCTCAACAGAAAACCCCAGGTATTTACTTTAACAATTAGGAGCTACCAAGTTGCTCACAGCAAATTCCACCATGGAGTTTATAAAAACTATGGCTAAGGAAAGCCATGCTATGCAATTTACTACACTGCACTGGACCAATAAGAAACATCATGATAAATGGACAAAAGATTGAAGTTGTCAAAGATTTCAGTTTTCTTAGATCCACAATCAATGCCCATGGAAGCAGCAGTCAAGAAGTCAAACAACATGCTCTGTAAACTTTCACCTAAATCACAATAAAAATTTTAAAAAAAGAAAGAAAGAAAGCAACGTATTGCATTGGCCAATCTGCTGCAAAAGATCAACTTTAAGTGTTCAAAAGTGCACCTGGTCCAAGCCATGGTATTTTCAATTGCCTCATATGCATGCAGAAGCTGGACAAAGAGAAAGAAAGATGATGAAGAATTGATGCCTTTGAATTATGGTGTTGGAAAACCATATTGAATCATGGACTTCCAGAAGAATAAGCAAATCTGTCTTAGAAGAAATACAACCAGAATAATCCTTAGATGCAAGGATGATGATACTTTCTTTCACATATTTTGGACATGTTATCAGTAGGAACCTGTCACTGGAGAAGGACATCCATCATGCTTGGTAAAGTAGAGAGATGGTGAAAAGGAGGAAGACCCTCAAAGAGATGGACTGACAGAGTGGCTGCAACAATGGGCTCAAACAGTAACAATTGTGAGGATGGCACATGACAGGGCGGTGTTTTGTTCTGTTGTACATATAGGGTCACTGTGAGTCAGAAGTGACTTGCTGGCACCTAACAATGACAACATGAGTCAGAATTGAGTTGGAACCGACTCGATGACATCTAACAACATCAACAGATGTGAATTAGCACAGAAAATGTTGAGGATGAAATAAGCAAAAATATTTGTCATATTTGTCAGAACATACAAACTCTTTGGGAAGAAAGACTATATATATGCATTGTAAGTTTCTCTTTCTTTCCTCATGTCATGTGTCTTAGGCCCTAAGTAGGAAAATATGCAATTTTATGTATTTTATCAGTATAATTATTTTAAGGTATATAGTTAGGGGCCATACCTGCACACATTGGTTGTTACTGTCTGCAATTAGTATCTTTCCACTTGTAGATGCAGCTACCCCCTGAAGATTTGTAAACTCTCCTTTATTTCTTCCTTTGGTACCTGGAAAAAAAAAATGTATATATATATATATAGAGAGAGAGAGAGAGAGAGAGAGAGAGCACCACAGAAATTAAGTACAAGGGAATTAGATTTCTCAGTCTCAGCAAGATTATTCAGGCTTCCATAGGTAGCCAGAGAATACATTATGTTTTAAAATTATATTTAAGAAAAGAAAGAAAAGGGAACCCCCTTCCCGAGCCTAATCTATAGGCAACTAAACTTTACTTCTAGATCAATAAAACAAAAACAAACACAAAAAAACTCACTGCCATCTAGTTGATTCCGACTCATAGCAACACCCATTGGGTTCCCATGGCTATAAATCTTTACATAAGCAAACTGCCCTATCTTTCTTCCATGGAGTGGGTGGTGGGTTTGACATAGACCTTTTGGGTAGCAGCCAAATGTCTTAACCACTACACCACCAAAGCCCATTCCAGATCAATAAGGTCATAGCAAAATCACTTTTTAAGTCAAATGCCAATCTTCTTATTAGTTTATAGCTGCATATCAATATGATTAAAATATACTTAAGATTCCATGAAGACAAAATAACGCAAACAAATGTATATTGAGGAGATGCAATGGGAGAGAAGCCTTGTTTCAGTGTTTTGTTAATATCACACCCTCTTACTCAGTAGCTCTTAGTATAAAATTAGACAGTTGACTTTTGAATGCATTTAATAAACCGTAATGCCATAGATGTTATATAAAAAGCAAGCTGATTTCTATAAACTGGATTTACTTATGCATTATTTTCAAAGACTCAGTATCTCATAGGCTGTTTATTCTTCCTGAAAATATTAAAGATGTCCTGACAGGGTGTTTTCTAGACTAAATAATTAAGAAAAGCTACAGAAAATTAATTAATCCAAGGAAATACTCCCATGCTTACTAGATTCCTTTTTAAGGGGAGGGATATGAGGCAGTGAAGAAAAAAATAAAAAGGCAAAGCTGTCTACAGGTTAACACATGCCTGGATTTGTTTCAATGGAGTATTTATAATTTATTTCAATCAATACTTACTGCCATCAAGTCAATTCCAACTCATAGTAACCCTATAGGACAGAGCAGAGAATTGCGCTCATATGATTTCCAGGCTGTAAATCTTTATGGAAGCAAACTGTCTCATCTTTCTCCCATGGAGCAGCTGGTGGGTTCAAACGGCCAACCTTTTTGTTAACAGCCTACTGTCTTAACCATGATGCCACCAGAGCTCCTTATTTCAATAGGGCTATGTAAATATTGGTAGTTCTTGGGTGGTGCAATTAACACACTTGGCTACTCACAAAAAAAGCTGGTGGTTCAAATCCACCCAGAGGTGCACTGGAAGACAGTACTGGTGGTTGATTTCCAAAAGGTCACAGCCATTGAAAACTCCCTGGAGCACAGCTGTATTCTGTACACATGGAGCTGCCCTGAATTGAAACTGACTCAGTGACAGATGATTTTGGTTTAATGTAAATATTAATGAATGGAAATAGAGTGAATGAACCTTGCTCAGACATGACCAGGAAGGAAGTTTAAATCATAGACAAAAAAAAAAAAAAAAACATGATTCAGTTTTAAAATTTCGTTCATATGCACAAAAGCAATTTGGCCTTTTGTTGTTAGATATCAATGTAGTGTCTTAAGAGTGACAAGCACACACTAGTGGTAGCTAATCTCAAACTCATGCTTAGATACTGCTTGGGAGTTGTGACTCTTTGTAAACATATTTTTGGGTTCAGAAAGTAAAATTGGTGACAGAATTTAATTCAGAATAAAATCAACCATGAATTGCCAAGCAGAACCATCTCAGATCACAGACCTACATGGTAGTTGTCTTATTGAAATTCTGGACCCTTTCAACTTAACTCACTGCCTGAAGTGGGTTGAATGGTGCCCTCTTCCCCCAAAGATATGTCCACCCAGAACCTGTGAATATAATCTTATCTTGGAAAAGGGTCTTTCCAGATATGAATAAATTAAGGAACTTTAGATGACATCATCCCAGATTTAGTGTGGTCCCTAAATCAAATGACTGGTGTCGTTATAAGAGAAAGGAGGGGGAGATTTGAGACATGCAAATACAAAGATGTCCATGGAAGATGGATACAGAGATTAGAGTTTTGCTACCACAAGCTAAGGAACATGTGGAGGCTGAGCCACCAGAAGCTGGAAGAAGCAAGGAAAGATTCTCTCTAGAGCCTCCAGAGAGAGCATGGCCCTGCTGATACTCTGATTTTGGACTTCTGATTTCCTGGACTTTAGCCTCTAGGACTGTGAGAGAATAAACTAAGGCACTCAGTTCGTGATAATTTTTTATGGCAGCCTCAAGAAACTAATAGTCATGTCACTTTGTTGTTGTTGTTGTTAAGTGCCGTTGAGTCGGACCCGACTCATAGTGACCCCTCCTTGGGTTTCCGAGGCAGTATCACTACAGAAGTAGATTGCCCCATCTTCCTTCGGAGGAGTGGCTCTTGTGTATTTAACTGTACATAAATTATATTTCAATAGAATTTATTTATTTTTTTTAAAAAAAGAAACTAATGTACTCTATCTCATCTATTCTCACTAACACAAAAGAAAAATCTGAGATCCAGATCCTCAAAACACATCTTCCACACTGTGGTGGAACTGTTCTATTTTCATTTGAAATATATCAGAAGAAAAGATCTTTTATGCTTGATCCACATAGAATCCCTATAATGTTCATATACATGGTATTCTGTGAACATGCTTCAAATATGATATATTGGTATCTGATAGTAGGGAGACACTGAGACTTTGAAGGAAGCATGTGTGCAGATGGCTAACAAGGTATTAGTTTTTGGTCATTACCCCTGATGTCTGAGTATCAAATGGTAACCACAAAGAGCAAAACTGTAGGACCAGGAAAATAAATGATTCTTCTACAATGCTCAGTACATAAATACTTTTTTTTTTTTAATTTATTGTGATTTGGGTGAAGATTTACAGAGCAAATTCACTTTCCATACAGCAGTTCACATATACTTTGTCTCATGTCATTGACCACAGTTTACCACAATGCAACAGCTCCCCTCCCACTTCCTCCCCATAGTTACCACTACCCAGTGTCCGTCCCTCCATACTCTCCTGCCCCCTGAGCTGTCTCCCTGTGCATAAGCAGCCCTTCCTTCTCCCATGATTGTTCTCTCCAGGGCATGTGTCTACTTGAGGTAAATGTTTATCTCACATGCCTGTACTTTGTTTGGCTGGAAAACACAGGTGTGGGTTCAATTCCAGACCTGAAGGGTAGCTAGGGGCCATAATCTCAGTGGTTCCACCAGGATCTATTGGACCAGCAAATCTGGTCCCAACCATCTTTTTTTTTTTTTTTCCCCTCCAAATGATTTTGAGTTTTGTTCCACATTGTTCTCCCTCTCTATCCAGGATCTCCTACATCCCTTCCAAGTGGATGACAGTGGTAGCCGGGCACCATCTAGTTCTTCTGGTCTCATAGTTGTATAGGTTGCAGATCGGATGGTGTACTAGTCGCGGGGACTGATTGTTTCCATTAATTTTGGTTTTCTTCTTTCTTCTTTGCTCTTGATGAGGAGAGACCCATCGTTGCATCTAGATGGCAGCTTGCTAGCTTTTAGGATCCCAGTCGCTACTCACCAAAGTAGGAGGTGGAACAATGTTTTGTATAGTATGTTATGCCAATTGAGCTTGATGTCCCCTGTGACTATGGTCCCAAGCCCTCAGGATCAACTACTTGGTCGCTCTGTGTAGCTGGCTGTGACCAAGCAGTGACCACAACCTAGCCTCTTGTCAGCTGTACTATACACCTGGGAATTCTGATCATTCACATAAACTTATAGGACCATTGTCTGCCAACCCTATATATGATCTTGGATACACTCCCTCTTTCATAGACATACCTAATCGTTTAGCCTGTCCACCTATCTATCCATCCATATACCCATGTTTGCCTTCACTGAGAACTCAGTTCAGTACATAAATACTTTTTAAAAGGGAATGAAGAGGTAGGGCCAGAATATCTTAAGAGTAAAAACTTAATTTATCAAAAACACTGATAAACAAAGGCATGGAAATAGCAAGATGAGGAATTGAGGGCCAAGTAAAGAAAAATAATAAAAATGCAAGAATCATGCAACTGAAATTTCAATATAAAAATCAAAGAAGTGACTTTGTAAAAGAAAAACCAAGATATCCCAGGTCCTTGGTTATACAAACTTGGAAGTGCATTCAGGGCATACAGGTAGGGAAAACAAATACTGAATATAAACTAAAAAAAAAAAAAAAAAATCAAACATACTACCCTAAGTCAATTCTGATCTCTAGCAAACCTATAGGACAGAGTAGAACTTCTATATAGGTTTTCTAAGGTTGTAAATTGTTATTGAAGCAGATTGTCTAGCTTTCTCCCATGGAGTAGCTGGTGGGTTAGAACCACTGACTTTTATGCCTTAACCACTGTATCACCAGAACTCCTTACTGAAAATAAACCCCCAAACCAAACCTACTGCCATTGAGTCGATTCTGACTCATAGTGACCCCCACTGATTGGGTTTCCAAGGTGGCAAATCTTTATGGAAGTAGATTGCCCCATCTTCTTCTCACAGAGCAGCTGGTGGGTTTGAACCTCAAACCTGGTTATCAGTCAGATGCCTTAGCACTGAGCCACCAGAGCACCTTACTAAAAATAAGGAGGGAGGGAAATAACGAACAGCATCGATGAACATGAATGTGTTGTCCTTCTAGTCTAGGTAAAAACGTTAAGTGCTCAGCTGCTAACTAGAAAAGTTGATGGTTTGAAATCACCTAGCTGTTCTGCAGGAGAAAGACTGTTATTGTTGTGTGCTATAGAGTCAATTTCATCTCATAGTAACCCTACATGACAGAGTACAACTGTTTCCTAGGCTGTAATCTTTATGGGAGCAGATCACTGAATCTTTTCTTCCGTGGAGCTGACCTTTGAGTTAGTAGCCAAGTACTTAGCCTGGGCTCCTTCTTGTAAAGAATACAGCCTA